AGAAGATATAAAATAGAAGTTTTAGTGTTAACGAGAATAAGTAACGTATCAGTCATGCTAATAAACAGAAGATATAAAATAGAAGTTTTAGTGTTAACGAGAATAAGTAACGTATCAGTCATGCTAATAAACAGAAGATATAAAATAGATATAAATTACTTGATATATATGACGGTATGCTCAATTATAATTTCATAATAAACATGCATAAAACATTCTATTTGAACAGCACGAGTCTTTTCGTGCATATAGAGGTTACTTAATCTCTCTTTCTCATGCCTTGCTTTTTTTTCTTCTAAAACTTACCTATTTTCGGTAAAACTATGTATGAAAAATAAAACTTTATATTATATTATTTATATTATAACAACAAAATATTTTCCAGTGCAGTCAAATTAAGCATGCCTTCCACCTTAACTGAGTTTCGTCTCAATAATATTCAGTGCATTTTGGAGTGTTAATCACACTTTATTTTACTATCATTATATGCTGAGGTAGTGTGGCGTGTCGCCGTAGGTGCGAACTTTGGCGCCACAGGCGATATATTTAACACTGATATATATTTTCTTCACGGCAAATTAGTTGGGGTTGGGTATTATCGATTAGCTGCATTCCCTCTAGTCTATCACTTCAAAATAAAGGACGGCTATCGTAGATAGCACTAGGGTAGATTAACACAAAATTCAACATACAACATCACGACAAACTGCTGAACATTCAATATTTACACAAATAAACTTTTGATTAAAAGGATATAAAAATCATTTCTGTAAATAAATATTCGTACTACAAGATTGTCAAATGATGTAGATCCAAAAGACACACCATTTCGAAGAAGGAAACTTTAACTGTTATTCACTGATTGAAAACTCACAGAACAGAGAATTTAGGACAGCACTAAAGACCATAACCTCAACTCTAAGCTTATCTAAACAAACATTTCATCCGCAAAATGTAAGCTATGGTCAAAGAAAAAATTATCCGTCCCAATATATTATCGTTAAGAAACTGGGTATGTCTCCTGATACTGTTATTAAGAATATAAACAAGGGTTTGAAGTTTCTTAAAGTTTACAAGTCATAACTTGAAACTGACGTTTGTTTTATTGTCATAAGAAAGATGGCTAAAGAAA